TTTATTTTATTTGTGTTTTTCCTTTAATCATGAGTAGCTAATTTTCTTATTTCTAGGATTTTATTTGGAACCCTATGTGGGGTTTATGAACCCAATTCTATGATTTTATGCAAGTTTTAATTCCGGATTATTTCTTCTTCTTGTTTTATTAAGTTCATGAAACTGGCCACTTTATGCGCTTTTATGTTATTGTTAATCGCATGAATCGGAAGATCGGGTTAATAATTAGAACTGTGGTAGAAGAGTCTTTGTGGTATTAACATAGGAATATAGTTAATCTCTTAGGTAGCCATTATTGAGATTTGTGTTTAATGTTGTGTTCTAGAATTAATTGCATAGGAATATAGTAATTGAATCTAGAGTATTAGAATCGTAATACACGCGGAAGCGGGTTATGATTATTTTAGCATCTCAGGTTAATAATCCGGGTTAATTGCTTGCATAATTGAAGGAATTGGGGGAGTAATAATCACATAGGGGGAAGAATAAAATCCTAGGCTCGTTTACTCTGATAAATCTTCGTGTTTAATTTGCTTTCTTGCTTTGTTGTTTTAATTTGCTTTTTAGTTTAATTTAGTTATTCTCTCTAAATTCGACTGTGTAGGGTGGGCTTGATAATAATTGGTAGAATTTAGCGTCTAGGATTAGATAATTAAATATTCCCTGTGGGTTCGATATCCGGACTTTTAGTCCACTATATTACTTGTACGATACGTGCACTTGCGTGTAGGTTTTCGACCAACAAGAAGTCCATGCCATAATTAAGGATTAGCCCAATTGATAATCTAGATAAATATTATCCGAACTCAGATTTTAAAAAGCCCGCCAAATCTTTAAATATATAGCCCATTATATTTATAATCTTGCAATTTTGGCTTACGAGAGGACAAGGGGGAAATTTATTTGAGCCCTCTTTTTGTATTTTTCAAAGTTACTTTACGTTACATACACAACAGACTATAGATTTTGATAGATTGTAAAGTAACTTCGAACGTAATTCCAAAAACTCTTACAATTTAACAATTTTTTTTCTTTTCAATCTTGCAAATTGTTACGATATTTCTGACATTATCAACTAGGAAGCGACAATAAACTAAATGGACGACCATTATTCCATTATTCATGTAATTTTTCATTTTTTCAATTTCTCTTTTGATAATTCCGTGTTGGTCAACACGGGATTCATATATGCAATTTTGTGTTACACAACACGGAATTAAAAAAAATTGAAAACCCATTTCCATGCAGATCCACACAGACAGACTTGAACCAGTTTTCCGTGTCGGACAACACAGAGCTTCCGGTCAGTGTTGTACAACACTGAATTGCAGATAGGGATCCAGTGTTGACCAACACTGAATTAAAAAAAAAATCTTCAATGTGTAATATTTCATATTGTTTCTCGAATAATCTAAAACATCAAGAATTATATGTATAAAAAAAATCTAAGTAAACAAAGAAAATTTTAAAATAACGAATTTCATTATAATAGAGGAAAATAGTAAGAGAGTTTCACAAGCTTCTACTATTCACACTTGATTGGTGTACAAAGAAAGGATTTATACAAGAGAATTGACTCAATCAAGCCTTAATCGAGCTATTCTAATCACGTCAAATCTGGAGGAAAATATTATAACAGAATCACGTAAATAAGGGAATTAGCTAACCATGTAAATAAAGAAATAAGCTAGGAAGGAGTGATGGCATGTCAGTCAGAGATGCCAATCTTGGATCGTAGACTCTCAAATGTTGGGCCAGAAAGCAGTTTGGTTAGGAGGTCCACCAACTGAGCTTTGGTTGACATGTGAGAAACACGTAACTGGCCATTCAGAACAAGCTTTCGAACAAAGTGATAAGCCACTTCAATATGTTTCATGCGCGAGTGGAAGACAAGATTTGCGCAAAGATAGGTTGTCCCAAGATTGTCACAGTAAATAACCGGTTGAGTGGCAAGTGATATTGAAAGCTCGTTGAGAAGGCCTTGCACTCAACACAACTCCCATGCAGTGATAGCGACGGAGCGATATTCGGCTTCAGTGGAAGAACATGCGACCGACCTTTGTTTCTTGGAACTCCAACCAATAGGGTTACGACCAAGGAAGACTATGAAAGCACTTGTAGATGTGCGATCATCTTTGTTGCCAGCCCAATCACCATCTGAAAAAGTGAAGGGAAAGTGGTGAATTGCTAGACAAGAACAACCCAAGGTCAGAGGTGCCTCCCATATAGCGTAGAACTCGTTTTACAGCTATCCAATGATTCATAGTAGGTTGATTGGCAATTTGAGCAAGTTTATTTACAACAAACGCTATGTCCGGATGCGTGAGCTGTAGATATTGTAAGCTCCCAACAATTGTTCGATATTCTTTAACACATCAAGATGAGCACTGTCGGCGATAGATACGGTGTTGCCCGTCGATAGGGGTATCTTAATGGCCTTAGAACCAATCATATTTACACGATCTAATAGCTCCATGATCTACCGTTTCTGAGAAAGAAATAATCCATGTTTGCTTCGAGTTACCTCCACACCCAAACAGAAGTTCAGATCGCCTAAATCTTTGATAGAAAACCGTGAGCCGAGTTTCTTGATAAATGTCTCAATGGACGAGGAGTGATTTCTTGTAATAATCAAATCGTCAACATAGACAATTAAATATATGATGATACCATTATGATCAAAGATAAATAGGCATGTATCTGATGCATAATTAGTGAAGCCAATGGAGAGAAGAAAATGTTGTAACTTTGAGAACCACGCCCTCGGTGCTTGTTTCTAGCCGTAGATTGCCTTATGTAACTTGCACAAATGATTTGGAAATTGTTCATTTATGAAGCCCGGTGGTTGAGACATATAAACGTCTTCGGTCAAGTGACCATGAAGAAAGGCATTATTAACGTCCAATTGTCGTAGAGACCAATCCCGTGAAACTGCAATAGAGAGGACAACTCTAACAGTTGTATGCTTGGCCACAGGTGAGAACGTCCCGTCATAGTCAAGACCTGGCCGTTGGTGAAATCCTTTGGCAATAAGACGTGCTTTGTATCGACTGACTGTTCCATTGGAGTTTTACTTTATCCTGAAAACCCACTTGCAGCCAAAAGCATTAGATGAGGTATGGGAAGAAACTAAGGACCATGTTTTCTGCTTGTTCAACGTATCAAGTTCTTCTTGCATGGCAGCGCGCCAACGAGGATCTTTAAGAGCAGTAGACACAGATTTTGGCTCTTGAGGTTTTGAATTTTCAGTGGGGTTTGGTTTTGTAGTGGAAGAAATCAAGGAAGGAGTTTTGGGTTTTGGGAAGGCAAAGACGATGATTGGGTTTATAAATATCGTTTTTGGATCGAGTTATCATTGGTGGATTGGACGGGTTGGTGGTTGTGTGGAAGATGAATGTGCAGTAGAACCAGTATTTGTGCAAGATATATGCATACCTCAAGTGTTACAGAAGGAGTCCATGCTTTCGCTTGATGAAGGAACACCGTTGGCGACATCATCAACCATAGGGGAGGCTTGAGCCGGCAGTGGAGAGATTGATGTGGTGGATAATTGGTGGTTTGGGATAACAAAATGAGACGGAGCCCAAACAACAATTGGGAGTTCAATAGACTGAGTTGTGGGTACTAGTGTATGGAAAGGAAGTTTCGACAAAGTCGACATTACGAGAAATATATAAACGGGATTTCAGCGTAACCGAGAAAAATACAAGGTGCAGACATTGGTTGCAACTTATTTTGGTTATATGGTCGATGCCATGGATAGCACAAACATCCAAAAACTCGAAGCTTTGAGTAATTTGGATGTCGGCCAAAAAGTTTTAAAAATGGTGAATTGTTCTTAAGAATTGGTGTGGGCATGCGGTTAATTAAATAAGTTGGAGCCTGGAAAGCAAATGACCAGAATGTTAATGGTAAGTCCGCCTGATGAAGTACGGTGAGGCCTATCTCCACAATATGGCGATGGTGGCGTCCGACAGTAGCATTGTGTTCAGGTGTATAAGGTGGTGTAAGGAAGAGAGAGATGCCATTTTCTTCAAAAAATGAACGCAAATGTATAAATTCTCCTCCATTATCAGAGTAAAAGGAGATAATTTTCTTTTGAAAATAATTCTCGACAATATGTTTGAACTTAGGAAAAATAGTGGAGACTTCAGATTTCCATTTCATCGGAAAAAACCAAACATATTTTGTGAAATGATCAACAAAGATTAGATAATACTGAAAATCGTTTATAGATGTGATAGGTGCCGGACCCCAAACATCGCAATAAATCAGTTCTAATGGAGAAGAACTTTTTATTGTAGATTGATAAAATGGAGATTTGTGCATTTTATTGCACTTGCAGGAATTACAAAAGAAGTGTTTGTCTATGGTGGGGGACAAACGAGATATGCATTAATTTGGATAATTCGGCGAAGAGTTCGAGTAGAAGGATGGCCTTGCCGCGGTGCCATTGTGGATCAGTAGTAGTGGTTATTGTGTGGGCTTGTGGTCGTATAAGTGTTGCTGGTGTAGTGTTAGGAAAATTGGTAGGCCATGGATATACGCCGTCTCTAGGCTTCCCTGCCAATAGATGTGCCCCCGTTCGATAATCCTTTACAACAAACGAAAATTGTGACTTGTGAGAACTCGACTGTAACATTATTAGTAGAACATAACTGATACACATATATAAGATTCTTTTGCATTTTGGTACACAAAGAACATTAGAAAGGTGAAGAGGGCGAGATAAACAAGGTAATGAGAGAGAACCCGTATACGAGATTTGATGATTTTTATCATCCCCTAGCATGATTTCGTCACTACCATCATATTCAGAGTGAAGAGATAAATTATGGAAATCTTGCGTAACCGGAGTCCAAAAGCCACGTAGTGGCATTGTTAGCAGATCGAGAGGTGTAGTTGGCCTGGGGTTTTGGATTAGACGGCCTGGTTCCATGGTTGCTGCTATTTGGTGGTTCCGAAAGCCACTGAGATAGAGCAAGCAGTTTGCGGCATTGTCAAGCAACATGACCAGGTTTCTCGCAGATATGACAAGTTACTCGTGGACGGTTGCTTTGATACCATTGGCTGAAAGAAGGCCGAGGTGACGGATATGGAGGTCCTTGATGCTTTCCAGAAATAAAGAAAGTATGAGACGATCTTTGTCCACAATAGCGAGAGGAGGTAGATGGTTTGGCAGCATAGTTTGCAACAATAGGAGAGGTGTTTGCGGTCTCGCGGGAGACATATGACTCAAAATATGTGAGTTTTTCATGAAGTTCTTGAAAGCTAATGCTGGAGTCACGGGCTCGAAATGCGGCAGCAATTTCTTTATATTCAGATGGGAGACCATGGAGAACGTGTAACACGATTTCATCCATGAAGATGTGAACACCGGCGGCGGCTAGTTGCCCGGATGTTTGCTTGATCTTTTGAAGGAACTCGGTAACTGACATAGATCCTTTCTTAATGCTGCTTAATGATTCTCTAAGACTCATAATACGGTTTCGAGATGGTTTAGCATAAGTATCGGCAAGGGTGTGCCATATGTCGTAGGAAGTCTTGGCATCAACAACGAATGGAATGAGTTCGGCTGATAATGAACCAATCAAAGCGCTGCGGAGTAATTGATCTTGACAAAACCAATATTCATTATGGGATTGATCAACGGTGGTTTCGGTTTCAGCGAATTGAAGAAATTTGTAACCACATAGAAGTGAATACCATTGGGTGTGCAATGACTGGTAGTTTGTGGGTGTAAGTTTAATGGGAGTTTGGGCTGCGGCATTGATGGAGATGAGATGATTGTTGGTTGAAGTATCGATAGTTTGTGTTGGGAGGGATACGGGTGTGGTGGGTGGAGTGGTGGTAGGAGTGGAATTTCGGCTATCACCAGCCATAGACATAGTTGCAAAAAAAAAAAAAAAGAATTGGTGGATAGAGTTGCGTTGAGACTGGTGGCTCTGATGCCATAAGAGAGTTTCACAAGCTTCTACTATTCACACTTGATTGGTGTACAAAGAATGGATTTATACAAGAGAATTGACTCAATAAAGCCTTAATTGAGCTATTCTAATCACGTCAAATCTGGAGGAAAATATTATAACAAAATCACGTAAATAAGGGAATTAGCTAATCATGTAAATAAGGAAATAAGCTAGGATGGAGTGATCCTTGATAAATAGGATATATCATTTTGTTGGTCATAATTTTGTTACTTCATCAGGTCTAAATTAGGGAAGTGAAATCTTTAAATAGGTTTATCTCGAAGTTGGCTGAGGGGAGTTTCCATTTTCTTTTCACTGATGAAGCATAATGAGTTTGCATGGATGGAAGATTGTCAAAAGATCTTTAATCGCGGATGTAATCGGTTGGATTTGAAGAGTAATGATGTGCCATTGTTTTGGTTATTCATATTATACCAGAAGCTTTGGAGTTAAGGACCACCTTTTTTTCTCGATGAAACTCTCATATACGAATAAAGACGAGCAACATTGGCGAACGGGATTTTCGAGCTCGTAATTTTATTTAGGGTAAATAGCATTTAATCCCCTTGTGGTTTGGATATTTTGCACATGATTACCCTGTGTTTTGAAATTAGGCATATCATCCCCTTGTGATTTTGATATTTTGCACATGACCCCCTTATGGTAGAAAATGAGGCACATAAACCCCTTGTGGTTTTGACATTTTGCACATGAACCCCTCATAGTATGAAATTAGACACATAACCCCTTGAATAGAAAACTAGAAAAGACTAAATTACCCCTAAATAATAAAGACTTTGTTTATTAAAAAATTAAAATTCGATAACAACTATAATATATATATTATATATAAAATAGTAAATAATAATCATAATTAATAACAATATTAAAGCTTTTAAATATGTAGAATTATTTTACCGAATTATAATTGAACAAAGAAATTGATAGTTCATAATTTTATATCGAGTTTAATCTTTTTATATTTGATTTGTAACATCTGAGATTTTCAAATTGCTTTCTAAAATTGAATAAATTGTCAATCGTACAATAACTAGTATTATATATCTTTTATGTTTTTAAAAATAAAAAAAATACAATAAATATTATATTTCTCATTTTACAAAAAAATACATTAAACTTTTCATTTTATAGAATAGTTATTTTTAAATTAAAACAACAAATTTTGACTTGATAGAGTAACCAACAAACAGTTGGTATGGTTGCAATTTGGCTAAATTTTAGGGATAATTTAATCTTTTCCAGTTTTCTATTCAAGGGGGTTATGTGCCTAATTTCATACCATAAGGGGATCATGTGCAATATGTCAAAACCCCAAGGGTGTTATGTGCCTAATTTCATACCATAAGGGGGTCATGTGCAAGATATCCAAACCACAAGGAGGTTATGTGCCTAATTTCATACCATTAGGGGGTCATGTGCAAAATGTCCAAACTACAAGGGGGTTAAGTGCTATTTACCCAATTTTTTTTTTTTTTTTGTATCGTTCACCTGTTATTAGAGCTCGGTGTTAATAGGATCTTTATTACTAAAATTATTCGAGCTAACCTTTATTCTCAACTTGATGATCTATCATCTATTGATCTTTGGTGCTTATTTGAATTTATTTACCGGAGCTCGTACATATTATCTCGCTTTTATCAGACGGGGCTCGCATTAATTTTTTGAATTTGGAGCTCGTTTGGCTACAGATAAGTTTTCTTCGTCTTATTACAATTCGTATTATGTTATTATTTAATTGTCCTTCGACTAAACCAAGAAATCACCCAAAAAACAGATTGAACGACGAGGTATCCAGCTCGTTAGTCGGGATTCGTGCAATTGAGAGTTCGCTACGAACTGATATATCGTTCTCGCAATTAAATATACAAATTCTTTATAGGTGGCAAATTTATCTCGGCATTGTTTGTATTATTCTTTTTGACTTGTTGGAAGATTTTTAGATAGCGATCAAGTTAATAGCACAATTTTAGTCTCCAACGAACCACTTGATTCGGTCTACTAAATGTTGGGAATCGGACACGTGTACGCAGCGGAAAACAAAAATTTTATGCGAATTAAACGAATTTAAAACACATAAACACATGCCCGATAATAGAAAACAATTAATTGCGTACCTTTGCGCTTCCAGCGAAATTAAAAACAACATACATGCTTAATTATTTAACCGAATTTAAATCAATTAGCATGCTCGCGTTTAAATCAAATAATCATGCTCTCAATAAATAAACGATTTCATGTAGTCACATAAAATCATACAAGTTTCATACTAGAACGAACATATATATTCAATTTAAACGTATTGAATCTAACGACAATGGATTAGAAAATTTACCTCTTGAAGCGTGAGGTAGGCGCACTATGCAAAGCTAGATTGCCACGGAAACCAATCCGTGCAATCCGGGGCAGCAACGGCGAAAGGGCAGCAGCGGCTAGACGAGCTACGGCGGCGCGTGTGGCTCACGCGCTGTCTTCGGGCGGCGCGTGGGATTGCGTGCGACGTCGGCTCGTGTGCTGCTCCTCGATTCTTCGATCTTCGATCTTCCTCCTCTCGGATTTCACCTCGTATACTTCGATCTACTAAACACGTGGCACTAGACACGTAATAGTTAGAAAAACGGAAGAACAGAAAGAAGGAAAGAAATACCAAAAAGGATCGGCCAACGGATGGCCGATTCCGGCGATATTCCAGCGACGACGGCGGTGATGGCCGCGGGGAGATGGCCGAGAGAGAGAGAGAGGGAACGGCTAGGGTTAGGGTTTCGTGTGGTGTCTCTGTGCAAGACCTATAAATCAAGTATTTATAGTGTCTTGCATAAAACCCTAACGGGCTTAAGTTGGACCGAGCCCAACAGCTTAAGTTCGTTAGTTCTTTTACTCGCTCGTCTCTCTCAACTCGATGATCGGAAAACCGTAACAATTACATTTTTGGAATCATTATAATGTGATCGCCATTACGAGTGCCAACTCTCGATTTCCAACTTTCCAAAAGTGGAAACCCTAATTCAGTGCACTTTCTAAACTTGGGAACTTCCCGATTTAGAAAGTCCACTAAGATGTTCGCCTATTCTTTTCCTTTTCTTATTCTCATTCATAATTCCAAATTACGAATGTTGGACCCAATCATATTGACTTCCAATCATGCAAAGATAAACCATTTTATCTCTGACCGTTTATTCAAAGATCTCATGTGCACGAGCAGTGTGACCCTCGATGGTTCAGGTACCGGTGTAAGCTAGTCGTGGGCCCACAACCCTTTGTGGTCAAAACTCGTCCCTTAGAGTTACGATTAAGATGAAACTCGTTTCACCTTAATCACCCAACGAATCAAGATTGACGTCTATCAACTACGCGTCATGATTCCCTAGATACAAATGAAGTGCCTGCAAGAACCTTCAGATATAGTTAACGTACAGTATGATCCATTCGATTCATATGTCCCGATTGAACTAGAGGCATTGGTTCATCGAGACCTCTTTATTTGTTCAATGACGGTGCGATCGTTCTAAGTGTTGTAATCGTTACGTGCATGACTTAGAGAATCGAATTCTCTAATCATCACTTAGTCAGCTCTGGCCAGAGACTTGGAGAGATTACAAACTATAAGAACACACAGGACATTCAAGACTATTCTAGCGATCGAATCCCCGACTACAATGCACATACCTCCCACTAGATTTCGGACTGCACGGACAATGGCCCTTGGGATGGTCCTCGGTGGAACTCAGGGACAGGTCACGATACAGCTGGTCCTCTAGTGAAGTCACGGTGATGTCTAGGTCATAAGGACCAATGGTGTACAACTATACCATAGATATCTCTACTCGATTATTGGGAACCACTTAGAGATTTATAGGGTGAGGGAGTTCAGTGAACTCGTCAACTTACGAGCACCCCCTTATGTATGCCGATATCACAATACCGTTTACTGATGAGATGTAGTACACATACACTAAGTGCTAGTCTCTTAATGGGAAAGGCCAATATCCTCATTGGTGGCGTAACCCTTCGACTATGAACACGGTTAACAGTTATAATACTTAAGTAAATATCTCACGATCCTAACGATCAATTACTAGTACTTGTAATAACTGTAAGGACTATATCTATCCTTGTGACAAAGGGACAAAGATATAGAATGCCAAGGTGTTTTATCATTAATACGAATAAATGTTCGTTTATTACCATAATAAATACGAAAGACCACAGCCACATGTTGGCTTGTTGGTCACCTACTCTAACACTAAAAACTAGGGTGAGTAGACGATGGGGGTAATTTTATAGACTTTGGCCAGACCCACAAAATTGAGCCTACTAGGTCAAAAGCCCAAGGAGAGGTGAGAAACATAGCGGGCCACAAGCTCATTGAACAAAAGCCCAATGCTATGGGATCTGCCAACAAACAACTCGCATGAGGAAAACCCTCATTACATTTCGGATCGCATAAAAGAGAAGCAAGAGGTGGTAGGTGACGAGCTAACCAAATGATGTTAGGAAGAAAAAATTGAAGATATTCTTCCAAAAGATAAATAAGGATGATTGTAATCGAATATAAAAAGTGAACATTTGATAATAAATGCTAAGCAAATCAAAGGACCTAAAGATAAGAAGTGTTTATCTTTAGGATCCGCTATATATACGGATGTAAGGTGAACGTCATAGACACAATGACACGATCTAACATATATAAACTTTACAAATAAGCGCATCAATGTGTACTTATTAATAAAGGAGTACAGACAATAAATTCTTCTACAAAAAAGTCCATACATGGCCTAGAGGTTTGTAAAGAACTAAAATAATCTCTCACTTAATATGCTCCAATTTCATCATTTAATTTAATTTAACCTCAATTTGACATCAAATTTCACAAACTATTCAATTTTGACCCAAACCACAAT